TGATTAATTAGGTATTTGGCTTTATTCAGAATTGCTATTGATTTGGATATTTTGGCTTTGATATAGCCTATATGTGGTTTCCAACTTAATTTATTGTCTATGATTACTCCAAGGAATTTTATTTCCGATACTCTTTCTAATTGGACGCCATTTATAGTGAGTTTCTTCTCTGTATTGGTCGATCGATTCCCAAATATGATGAGTTTGGTTTTGCTTGCGTTCAATGTTAATTTATTTTGGTCAAACCAGATCTTCATCCTGCTCAGTTCCTTCTCCATTGTGACCAATAGCTGTTCTAAATCGTCCCCACAGCAGAGTAGACTTGTGTCGTCTGCAAAAAGAATGGTTTTAATAGTTTTTGATACTTCACATATATTGTTAATATACAGAATAAACAGTAATGGCCCCAAGACTGAGCCCTGAGGCACCCCACATGTAACCTGCAGTAGTTGTGATTTATGGGTTTGTAGTTCAACGTACTGTTCCCTGTTATGTAGGTAGCTGGATAGCCATGATAGTGCAACACCTCTAATGCCATATCTCTGTAGTTGTATGGCATTAGAGGTGTTGCACTATCATGGCTATCCAGCTACCTACATAACAGGGAACAGTACGATATCAATGCATGTCTGTCTTGTCTTCATCCAACTTTTCATGCCACCTCTCGATTCCTTTTTTCCTAAAACACTGAAACACAATGTACAGTACAGGCACAGTTGTTCCTTTTGTAAGGCCCTTATACAACACACTTGTTCCCTTTCAGCACCTCGTGTGATGTTACCCAACAGAAATGCACATCTACAACACCTCTGTGGAGTCTTAGCAAACATAGGTGACTGAGTTCAACTAACTCAATAGATGACTTTTAACGAGGGAAGGGAATTTAAGGAATAGCACTGATGTTAGCACTGACGTTATTCTGAATAAAGTCCCCAATAAATGCCCAATTACCTTTTTTTTTAAATCTACATTGACCAAGTGTCCAGTGTCTATAAGGTTTGTTATTTATATCACTAATAAGATACAGACACATTGTTCATTTTGGTATTTGTTGAGATTTGTTGGTAAACAAATATAGAATAAAGGAATGCCTTCATAACAAAAAGTACACAGGTACAAATACACAAATACATCCTCACACTGCTACAATAGCTAAGACATTTCATGTTTACACCCACGATATGGAAGTGTAGGACAGAATAAACACTATTGATTTTGCTGTCTTCAAATGTTACTGGCTGTTCTGTTGTCTTTGTTGCATCAGAGTTGCAGAGTTATTGCCTAAGTGCAGTCACCTCTAACGTTTGCTAAGCTTGTTTCTTTGATAACTTAAAACCCAGAGGTTTGAACCAGGAGCCAAATCATCCCCAGAGCTCTCATGCAATCCAAAAAAGTGAGTACATTTGAGTAAAATCATTGTTGTGATGTAATAAAATACACTGCCAATGATGAAGATAAAAACATAAATATGATATACAGGTGTACAAACTAAAAGCAGTTTCACAGAGAGAACAGTTGTGATTATATGGAGCCACCTGACTTGCCGGTACAGGTCTTGTCATCGTTTTGTACTGTACATTGTCCCAGCTGTCAATGTTGCGCAATAGAACCTGCGTGACTGTTACAGACACGTGCATTCAACGAGCTACTCATACAGTTTGTTGATCACGAGCCAATATCTTGTTTTTCTCGCCTGGCCTGCCGCAGGAAGTCACATGTCACAATGTGTGGTGTGGTTTCACTTTTAAACAGAGCAGAAACAGATAGAAGTAATGGACAGACTGAGGTGTGTGCTGCTGGTGCTCTACGTACAACACTGCTGGACTCAAATACACACTCTGGATCCAGGTAACACAGGAGCCAGGGTTAAGCCTGGAAATATCAATGAAATAATGTCGTTATTTTACCCACAATTTACAATTAAGGTCAGCATAATGGAGATATATAGCCAAATAATTGAAGTGCAATGTCATGAATTTGGTAGACCTGATTTGCCAGCTTCTGTTTCCTTATATTATGTATTAATCTCAATCAGGAAGCTTTCAATGTTATTTTTTCAGGAAGTATGACTCAATCAAATATTGAAGGTAAATCATGTGTTGAAACCTCTCTAACTGTGACGAGGAAGTGACAGAGCAGTGTTGTGATTCTCCACAGCCACCCTGCGTTTCGTGGTGCTTGGGGACTGGGGGGGTATTCCTCTGCCTCCGTACTACACCCCCCATGAGGAGGCTGTGGCTGGGGAGCTGGATAGGCTGGCCCGCAACGATGGGGTGGACTTTGTGCTCAGCCTGGGAGATCACTTCTACTTCGACGGTGTGAAGAGTGTGGACGACCCTCGCTTTAAGGTCAGATCACTGAGCAAACACTGTGGGGTTGAGACATATATGTGATAAGGCAGAAGTCATATCAATGGAAGCCCTACAGTAGCACATTTAAAAGAAATGTAGGCCTAATGGAAATGTTTCATCCACAGTACACATATGAAGGGGTTTTCTCCCAGGCCTCTCTGCTGGATATCCCATGGTACCTCACTGGAGGAAACCACGACCACAGGGGCAACATCTCCGCTCAGATCGCTTACTCCAACAAATCCAAGCGATGGTAAATATCTAAAAACATTATTTCATTTGAAACAGGAATGAAAAGCATCCCACTGTGCACTTAATTTATAATTAGTCTTCCCACCCTTCTATTATAATGAATTTAAAATGTGGGTTGCATTCTCTTTCTACATTTTCTTGTGGGACGCTTATTCAAAACAAAAATTAATGATATTTTCCAAGCTCATTTTTTTACATTTAGCTCACTTTCCTCACATTTGGCTCGTCTTCCTCAGTCAGAAACATATATGTAATTGTAAACAACTGTAGGCCTATGTACAAATGTAATCTCAATCTTGAATCAAAATACAAAATATTGTTTCTTTTTTTTATTTAACATGTTTTTACATTCAAACATAGCGGCGATAACACAAACCAGGTTGTTTCACATACATTTCTGTATCAAATGTGTGAAAGTGAGCTAAATATTTATGATATATCAGCCGCAAAATTGTAAAATCACCAATACATTTGGCACCCAAAACCCTGCTTCCTATATTTTCTATCAATATATAATTTGATATAACTTTAAAAACTTGTTTGTGTCTGTAGGAATTACCCAGGTCTGTATTACGAGCTGCAGTTCGCTGTCCCCCACACCAATGTGTCGGTGGGCGTCCTGATGATCGACACCGTGGTGTTGTGTGGGAACACATACGACCAGGCGCAGCCTTCAGGACCCGAGTACCCCTCAGCCGCAGAGCAGCAGTGGGGCTGGATCTCAGATAAACTGGCCAGCAGCAAGTGAGACACTGAATAATAAGAATAATTATAAAAGGCACTAACTAGTCAGTGAGTATTTAGACGGTGGCACATTTTGTCATTGCCAAAAAATTGCGAAAGCAGTTTTTTTTTTCGTGAAGGAAAAACAGAAAGGAGAAAAAAAGAATTAAGAAAATAAATAATATATTAAAAAAATATATCCTACGTAGAAAACTAATTATGAAACTATTACGACTGAAATAAATGAAAAATAATGTACATGTGCCTATATATTCCATTCTCTCAGGTCAGACTATGTCGTGGTGGCCGGTCATTATCCCGTGTGGTCCGTCGGCCATCATGGACCCACTTCCTGTCTGGTGAAAAGACTGAGGCCCCTCCTGAAGAAGTTCAACGTCACGGTGTACCTGAGCGGCCACGACCACAACATACAGGTACACAAACGATACTGTGTACGTGGAAATGTGTCCATAATTCACATTACACCTTTGACACTGTCGTCCTCCCACAGTTCATCAGAGAGGATGATGGGAGTTCCTATGCAGTGAGTGGCAGTGGGACGGTTAGTGACACCGCCACCACTCACAAAGGGAGCTTCCCCCCGTCCTGGCAGCTGTACTCCAGCCCTGTGAACCACACCGTGGGGGGGCTGGCTTACTTCCAGGTCAGCGAGCATCACATGACGCTCAGCTTCATGCAGACAGACGGGAAGTGTGTGTACCAGGCGGAGCTGCAGAAACGCACGCCATGAGGGACTGCACCAATCATCAGCTTTATTGAAGAGACTCAAGGTCCATTTTTAACAGACATACAACACTCAAATCAATAATGTGTTCTGCAGTAAAACTCAGGAAAGACAATCAGGGTATTTGTAAAAGTCATGTACTACTTTTTATGTAGTGTGTGTACATATTACACTATGTTTTTTATATATTGACACACATTGCATTGTGTGCATTCCACAATGCTCTAATTAGCAATGCAAAATGTGTGTCATTTATTATTTCAGTATGACTTCATTCGTTCCCTTTTATGGGAAAATACTTCTTATCAAAGTCTGTAAATGAATGTTTCTTGTTGCACTCAAACACCTACAATGTATTAAAATGTTTTTTTTAAATGTTTTCAGCTTTTCCTTTCTTTAAAGGCACCTTGTGGAGAAACAAAAGTAATTTGGACATATCAGAATATAAAAGCAAGAAAGAATAACCTATAGAATATGATTACTTTAGCTGCCTGTCTTTTTAAATCATCTTTTAATGTTTTATGTCATCGATGTATAAGATGACCCTGATGAAGGCCATAACAAAAACAGGTTAGTCGAACAATAACTTCATTATTCTTCCTTTCTACATGAACCTTTGGTGCAGAGTGGCTGGAAATCTATATATTACATTACATGTTACTTGTTAGACCCTTTTATCCAAAGCAACTTACATACTCAATACTGTGGACAATCCCCACACGAGCAGTTTAGGGTGAAGTGTCTCAGGGACACAACGACATGCTGACTGCAGTGGGGTTTGAACCTGTGACCCCCTGATCCGAACACCAACAACCCACTGCGCCACACGCCTCCAATACGCCTAGCATATATGGTCCCTCCCTAGTTTGTGTTCTTCTTCCCTGCAGCCTGTACATCAGTGGACTAGTTTAAGACAAATGAAAACACCATTTCTGCAAAATATTTATTAGATTTCCAACATTTCACCACAATATAAAATAATCCTCAACAATCTGAAGTATAAAACAGCTAAAAATCACATCATGTACACATATGTTAATCACAGTTAAAATAAATTAAGCATCAGATACAAAAATAATATAATCTAGATTGATTTCCCATAAAGTCTCCCAAAAGTTTCAAGTTGGAAAATACACTTAAAATGAAATAAATAAAATCAGTTGGTAGTGTTTATCTACAGTCAGCAGTACCAGATATAAAAACCAGGAATGAAATATTACAGTTCAGCAGGACGACGAGTGTACAGTAGTAGGTGTTGAAACAGTGTTTCTAAAGTCTCTTTTTCGGCAGCATAAAGTGAAAAAGAAATCAAATATGTCCAACATATTCAGAAGCAGTTTCATAGAAACTAAAGGATAGATTCCAGTGTTTGACACGAAATCTGGATTACATCTGCCCTCCTCACAAGAGCAGTGTAGTTGTACCGCATGTTCCCACAGTGTATATGTGTGTGTGTGTGTGTGTGTGTGTGTGTGTGTGTGTGTGTGTGTGTGTGTGTGTGTGTGTGTGTGTGTGTGTGTGTGTGTGTGTGTGTGTGTGTGTGTGTGTGTGTGTGTCTCTATACACGGTTGAGAGGCACTTCTTCTTTCTCCTTCTGCAGAGCGTTCTTCCTACGCTTGATGCAGACCACAGTGATGGCGATGATGAAGCCGATCAGCAGCAGGATGAGGAAGATGGCCGCAGCGATCACACCGATTGAATACACTGTGGAGACAAAACAAGACGTTACTTTAAAGAGCTTTGCTTAACATTAAAAACCTTTAAAAGATAGGCAATGAAATATACACTAGAAAAAAAAGTCTAAATCCCCCAATAGGATGCAATATTCTTTGTCCTTAAGGTCGCTCTAAAAGTAAGGCCAAAGGTCTTAAAGTGAAAGGCTGGTCTTTCTATATTTCTATATATATTTGTATATATATTATATCTCTCAGTCCATAACCAATTCACGCAAAATATCTATATTAGAATAGAATTGTCATTAGAGCTGAATGTGGGAGTCGTTGGCAACAAGAGAAAAACAGATAATATAAAAGACTCCCTCCTTCAGATGTCTTTGGGAAAACTCTGTGTAAGGTTGAGGTTTTGTCCTGAGGGTGGAGCCTTTATGGGAAATTTCTTTTTGCTTTTTCACACACACACACACACACACACACACACACACACACACACACACACACACACACACACACACACACACACACCGATCAGCTCCCACTCAGAGGGAGTGTTGCTGAGTTGCATTTCTTATTATCCAAACAAAGAGACATGAGTCCTCCCAACGTCCCAGCATCACATATGTGTTTGTATAAGTCTTTAAAGCTTGGTGGCCGTCTGTTTGTCTTTTATTTAACTGAAGCAATGCTGCTAACCACCCAGAAGGCACTTTCAGGAATATACCACCTACACAAATATAAATGCTTATGGCTTCCACAAGAGGTTGCTGTTGGATTTCAAAAAAGAATCTCAGCGCTTCACAAAAATGTTGCATACGGAGATTTTCCTGTCACCTTGGTTTTGAAACGAGGAGAGTTTGCACTAATAACCCAATCACTATTAGCTAATGTTTAACATTTTCACACAACTTGCATTTGGATTCCATTCAGATGCAAAATGTTAATTAATAAATGTTCATGTTTATTCCCATACGGAACAAATCTGAACAACAATAGTGTTGCATTGTCCGACCAATATCTACTTCTTAAAGATAAGCAAACACCTTTCCACTGACACTTTAAAGGTGGTGAAAAATACTCAAAATGTGTGCATACATGCATTATGCATATTAGACCCCCATGTTATAGAATATCACTCCAATGTACAAAATGACAATCGGTGCGCAAGAAGCAACAGAAGCACAAGGATCTAACCGCTTACAGGCAAATATATCGTGTTGAAGTTCCTTTAGTCAGCAAGTAAATCACACAAGTACCTGTCAGACAGCTGATGTGTGATTATTACACAGGTTTCTACTTGTTAGTGACACATTGTTCCTGTTTTCAACCTCTCAGAGAATCAGGACCTCACCTTCGAAGATGGACTCGTTGTCGTCCTTAGAGCACTGCGTCTGGCTCATCTCCCCCAGCTGTTTGTCCGTGTCTCTGCTGGGGATGTAGGCCTGAACGTTGAAGCAGTAGCTCTCCCCTCGGTCCAGATCCTTCACCTCTATCTCATTGCTATTAGAGTATAACACTTTCTGCACACACACAATAGGAAAGAATTGAGTTTGCATCGTCCTTTCACTGTGTGTTTGAGGTGCACACTGTAATGTCTGCTGTCCCTCACCTTGCCACTGCTCTTATTTCTCCAGTAGGTGACTTTATACTGCAGCTGTTCGGAGAAGATGTCCCTGATGGTCTGCTGGTGGCCATCTTTGAAGAGGGCGGTGATTGGGTCGGACACGTACAGAGTGGTATTCTTTTTGTCTTCGCTGACCTTCAGCTTGAAGTCAGGTCTGCCTATTTCAGCTGTGGAGAGACAGGGGGGTCAGTTTGTATGTCCGTCATTTCTACAATTGTATTTCATCGTATGGAACCTTATTATCTGTGATCATCACTCAGACAGGATCAAACAAATCATATCAAGATGATCTAAACAGATGATCTAAAAGGAGCTCAAACATTTAGATCAGTGGATAAATTAAGGAGCAACAAGTTCTAGATTGCAACAACAAATGTTGCTAGAAATGCTACATCAAACCAGGAAGCAGCGTGCACACACAACTGCAGGAAAGCTGGAATTATTATTGGAGTTCATTGTGAAATGTAACATTATTTAGGTGGCGGCTTCAAATATGCCCAAGGGGTTTTCTGCCTCCTTCTGCACTGTAATTTGTGCTAACAACAACAACGACAACGACAACAAACAGTAGATATAAGAAGCGGGACTAATCTAATGAAACTGAGTCGCTGACACTTCCTTCTCTGGCAGTGTGTCAGCTGTTTCCCTCTGCTGACCTGCACGAACATGTGCCTGAACAATGTGTTTGATAGAACTGTGCTGCACACAGGGGAAATCCAAAAAAACAAGAACCTACTATCTTTGGAGGGGCAGAAGCGAGGCGAGGCGGTGTTGGGGAACTCTGTGAGCTCAGTGAGCTCCCCCAGCAGGGGGGTGGAGAGGACGTCCGCCGTGTAGCAGGCATTCGGATCAGTGAGGGACACGGACAGGTCACACATTGTGGCTGTGGACCGGATACAGTGAGGGTTCCTCTCCTTGTCCCTGCCAATCCTGAAACAGATGATCAGTCACATGACATGAGCGATGGATACAAACTGTCTCAGACATCAGACGAGCAATAAAAGGAGCACTGACACAAGAAAAAATGAGTTTCTGTAAGTTATAACAAGGACTATTATTTAATTAATCAAGAACAAGAATGATTCATCAGAGATAAGTATAGAGGGGAGCAGTGTTTTAGTTGTTGCCATTGGATAGTGGATAGTGTGCTGGACTTCGAATCAGGGGATAGCAAGTTCGAGTCTCTCTGCGTGTCGTTGTGTCCCTGAGACACTTCACCCCAAATTGCTCCTGTGGGGATTGTCCACAGTACTGAATGTATGTAAGTTGCTTTGGATAAAAGTGTCTAACATGTAATGTAATGTAATTTTGGTGTGTTAATATCAAAATGTCACACCTTAGCTCCTGTGATACATCTATTTTCAACTGTGTAGCAAAAATGCACACACTCAAAGACAAACATGTTCCCATTGAAACTGATTTACAGCAAAGCACAATTTATAATCCCATGGCAAGTCCCACAAGTTTCCATTAGAATAATCAATGTAGTCATGTTTGGCCCATGCTATTTAATAGATTGTTAAAATGATCATTTTCGGAAACCACTCAGGGCATTCTGGCTAAACACTGTAACGTTTTCTGACGCAGATCTTTGTGCTCTCTAACGACTTAACAGCAACAATTTTAACGTGAGCCACAAAGGTAGCCTTGTACTGTTCTTGAATAATTCATTTTTCTCTTGTTGAATCAATAATGTCTGTGTGCTGCTGCCTCTACTTCCTCTGGCTTGAAATCGACATTCCAGTATAATCTCAAACTAGATCAATAACTGGTTCTTATCGTGTCCTGCTGCCATTTATCTCTCAAGGTTACTCCGCGGCCACGTCAGGGAGAGTGCACTTTCGCGGATTTACTGAAAACCCTAATGTGTCTTTTAGAGGAATACAATAAGCTGGAAATGAAATGTTCTCAAAGGATGCAGGTGCAGTACTTACGCAGAGAACTCCACGGTGTAGGAGTAATCCGCTGAAGGCTTGGGCTCCCAGGTCAAAATGGTTTTGAAGTTGGTGGATCTCCAAGTGACATTCTGTGCTCGGGGATAGGAGCCTGAAAATGAAAGAGGGCGTGTTAGATGCTATATCACATTTAGTTAGAAAGCAATACACCAAAAGTATTTTATCATCACTGATGTATACAATACCAAATACTTTCTATACATCAACAAATGAATGGACATCATCACAACTTTTAGTACAACCACCAAACCTAGTTATCAACACTTCTGTAATTCATCCTCATCAACAGCTACAATGTTGATTTTAAAACGTAATTGCATACAAAGGACTTATTGACTTTCTTTAAAGAGAGCCTGGCATGAGAAACATGTAATAGCTCGTCAGCTTGCAAAAAACACTTTAAACATCCTACAGTATGATCCTTTTGGTTTTCCTTCCAAGCAGGGGTCAAGCCAATTATATACCCTTTCCTTTTGATCTGTTTCTAGATTTTGTTCCCATGAGATTAAGCCGCACATCCCAACAAACAATGCCATAAATAGTGCAGTGAAACGACTGGTACTTCCTGAGGAAAAAGCTGAGGAAACTCCAGTGTTTCTGATTTCAGCATACACTCAGACATGTGGTCTAAACATTAAGAGTCACACATACTTTCGAAAGAGAAATCAAACCATGATCTGAGAAGCAGAATGTTTAATTCACCAGGTTTACAATGTGAAAAAACACCACTCCCACTAAAGAGATTTTATGTTATATATTTGTATAGACTGACAACTGCTGACTATCAGTATAACATGTTTCCAAACACAGTCTTTAAAACTTGTCTTGGTCAAACTCCAAGTTAGTTAAGCATCGAAGGACCCACAAGAGAAAGTTGTTCCTGCACAGAGGGTTTAAACGCTGCCCAGGGTTTCCAAAAATCCGAATGGATCCCAGATTTAGAAGCTGGGACAGTCCCACGGTCAGATACAATCCCCTAACTTTTCTAGTTTCCATGTTGTGGCAAAACCAATGATGTGCAAAAATGCTGATACTATTTAAGGTAACAAACGGAGCGTGGACATTAAAGTGTTACAGGTATTCTTAAATTAAAATGGTAACGTATATATTCAATATTTATATTAGCTGACTGTCTCAACTACTTTTCACAATCTCTCAATTGCAGCACATATTGTTAAATGTACACCCAACTCAATATAAACAACGAAAGTAGCCTCTGGTAACTGCACATGAGGTAGCCCTAGTGTGAACAGATGCTCTGCAAAACCTCTTAAAACTCAATAAAGTGATAAGAAAAAAATATGAACAGGCATTTCTGACTAAGCAAAACTATATCTGTATATAGATAATAAGTGAATAAAAAAAAGATAAGATTCTGCAAAGCCAGAGCATGCCTTGATGTTTCTACAGAATGACAAAAATATAAAGCCACACATGTTCTTATTGCAACAATATCATTTTATGATTTGACCTATCGTAAAATGATCATGTTGTATAATATTTCTTTTATTGTAGCTTGATTTTTATTATTAATATCGACTATAATTTCTCATACTCCCCATACCATCACATTACAGTCACTGAAATCAAACCTTGCTGTTGATGCTGGGAATAATCAGAGACAAAATAATTCAACATTATTTACTAAAGTTGCATGTAATCCGATAATAGGACAATAGTGTTTGAGCTGATGGGACTCACCTGAGGCAGAGTGTGTGAGGAGATAAATCACAAAGAGAGCTGCTGGGAGTCTGATCGTCACCATGTCGGTAATGTAATCCAGGTTCAGAGTGTGTTTCTGTGGGCTCTGATCTCGGTGTGTGTTGTGTGTAAATCCTCTCGGTTCTCAGTCCACTCTGACAACGACCCACTGGTTATACTACTGTAAGAGCGAGGCGCGAGTCCATATAAGGAGCGCCGGCGCTGACGTCAACAGACGGGGACACAGAGCGTGCCTGTCCCTCTGAGCTCATCCAGTTTTAGAGGTTTTCTCCTGGATTACAACAATTTCCATCCAAAACTCAACCTGAAGGCAGAGCTATCCGTGCTTTAAATGCAAAGTAACAGATCCGGCATTTTCGGCGATGGACTAATGTGTCTGTCTGCAAGATGAGTAAGATTAGGGGATTTAAACACTGATAACGTGCAAGTTAAAACGCTTTCCAATCTTACATATCATGTAAACAAATACATGTGTTATCCTGGCTCTAACGAATATTTATTATGGAAATTATAGTTAATTATAATTATTTTTCAAATGTTTGAAATGTCTATAACGCCATGTCATACAAAAGCAGTTCAGATGGCTTCACAAAAACAAAATAAAACGTCAAATTATTTCAGATTTCTTAATGACTACACATACAAATATATTTGTGTCGTAAGTCTGTTAAGTAATCTAATCAAACACCCACCATATCTGAACTTCAGGGTCCTCAATGGTGGGTACAGGCCAGTTGTTATCATGATATCAGTTATTCAATCAGAACACTTTTTTTCAAACTAACGCAGACTCGCCAAAATGCCTCATATATCTAAAATATATTTTGTTATGAAGCGTAACCCCGGACCTCCCCCGTTAGTTCTGCAGGAGGATTTGCAGCTCACTTTGTTTGTATTCTCTTCTCAAGTAGATGTATGTTTGTGCTCACTGTTTGTAGTGCTGACTAAACTGGGAGAGTTTAATGCCTGTTCTTGTGTTGAAACAATTCAAACATCGATGGGACTATTGCTGCATAACTTTCACCCAACATAAATAACTGTGTAGGCTATGCTGTTAGGAACATATAATTATAATAAAAGGTACATAGTTCTCATTGGGTTATGATCTTCAGGCTTTGAACTTTATTTCTATCTCATCAATCCTGTCCACGCCCATTTCACAACACCTTTTATATTCTCTGAGTTATACAAAAAGCCTGAGATCAAAGTTTACTTAAAGGCGAGGCACAGGTTTATGAGTCAAGAGCCAACAGATAAACCCGAGCCAAGTTGCATTTTAAGATGAAGAGCTTTTATAATTCTCTCTTTATCTTCACCTATCAACACACAAGGAGTGCTTGAGTTTTGATATAGACCACATCCAGTTGCTTAGACAAATAGAGATAAATAAATGGCACTTTTTTTCCAGGATGATGTGCTCACTTGAAACTAGAGACTTTACGTGCACCAATCTATCTTTTCAAGCAGGCTGCACGCTTTGTTGACACATTTCTCCCATTCTTCAGTAGTAAAGTCGTCGGTGGTGTAGTCACGGTTTAAAGGACGGATGACATGCTTTGCAGTGGTATGCTGACCACATCACTATATATACTCTCGGCCCCCCAGTAGCCTTATTAGATCTCTCGTGATCACATCATTAGGGATCTGAGAAACTCAGCTCAGAGTGTGAGTCAGGATGTCCTCAGACCTCTTCAGTGGGTGAAGGGGAGGTTTAAATATAGAAGCTGTTGTTTAGAGTCATGATAAATATCCAGACACACGGAAACTGGAAAAACAAATGTGTTTATAGAAACTGTTGATGTTACATGATGTCTCGGCAAGTGGATTTTCACATGAAGATTTAATCAATTCAGAAGTTAAGAAAACACGTTATTACATGCTTTGCAAAATGTTCAGGGATCATTAATATTCAGTACAAGCAAAACAGTGGCTCTTTCTTTTAGTAATTCACTGCTGGCTGGGAATACTGTCCTGCAGTGGCATTGTGCCAGAGCTTCATTATCCCTCCCCCCATCCCTCTCTGGAAAAAAGGGGCCCACTTGTCGCACGGTCCACTGTGGCTTTAATACCAAAGAACCCCTTTGACGGGAAGGACTGAATGCAAATGCAATTCTTTTCACTTCATAAAAGCACAGTGAGAGCTTCCAGCACGTACACACACATGTAGGATAACACACATGACTCATCTTTCATTCAGAGTCGCTGGCTCACTTTTAAACATTTAAAAGCATGGAAAATTAAAGAGTAGAACAAATAAAACCCCCGTTTTTCGTTTAAAAAGCTTTTCCTATGCTCCCTGTAATTATCTAGCTAATGGAGCAACATGGTCAACGCTGGTTGACTACTCATGCGTAATGGATGACAAGATTACCACTAGTGGAAATAAAGCTTCAAGTTCCCCAGACTGTTGACTGCGGGCTTTATTCCTCATACAACACATTACCTGTCTCTTCATATCTTATGGTGTTTCCTAGCACTAAATCCTAACACAGTTATCAACAACAACAGTGTTGGACTGCAATTACTACTCTGTGGTTTGCATTATAGACTTGCACAAAGGCATGAGATCATCGGGGCTCTGCATCTATTATTTCAGATGATGCTACAATCAAGGCTTAATTACTCTCCCAGGCCTTTCCCTGGAAGGAAAGAAAGGAGCAGCCAGTGTTCGTACACTTCACTTTCTACTTTAATAATCAACACGTTCTTCGGAAATGGCAGGAATGAGGTGCGGGCAATAGATCCGAGAACATAAAGGCTACTGTGTTAGTCATGGTTAGATCCCAAACGTGAGATTAAGTCTTTTTAACTCCATGAAAAGCATTAGCTATGCTCAGCTGCAGTCCATTAATCTGTGCCAACGCCATCTCTGCTTTTGCATTCATTCTGGCTGTAGTTTGATCAAATAAATACAGAACTCAATATCCCCTCCTCACCTCTCCTGAAGCTGTCTTTGTGTTACAGCTGCTCGTTATCAGCAGCTGGAGCTCGTTAAGGGCTCGATCAGGTGTGTTGGAATCAAAGTCAAGACGATCTAAAATCTTAAAGTTTGAAGAGAAACTTGTAGAAGTCAGTAAAACAAGATGACGTAACCCAGGGTTACAGGTTTTTAATTTATGCATTTGTCTTTATTCGCCTTTATTCATATTCTGAAAATATGTCCTTGTATGGGGAAGAGCCCCATACAAGGACATATTTTCAGAATATGAATACTCAAATTCAACATCTCTAGTACGAATAAGTGTCTCTGTTACAATCAGTCACACATGAGTTGTGTCCAAAATACAGCTTTTCCGGTCATTTTTGACCCCCTATGTCATGGTTTACACATAAGTGAGTTCATTGGAAAATGCCTCATCATCAAATACAGTAGCACAGTATGAATGAGTGTGTGAATATGGATGAGTTACTTTTCGGACGTTTGAAACTAAAGGTGACGTTTTGGATACTAAGGCAACACTTCAACTTCAATGTTTGATCCCAGTTCCCATACTGTGTGTTTTACAACACAATAAACTCCTAAGTCCTAGTTAAACCCAACCTTCAGCAAATATATGAGACATGTGTATAAAATGACTCATATGGTCCGGTCTCCCCATCATCACAGCCGTAGTCTTTGGATTAGTTTTTCGTGACTGAAAGTATTCTATGTGCACTAAGGTTTCATTTAGAAAAAATAAGTTTCTATCCATTACAGAAAATCACCTCCATTCACTTGAGGTATTTACATATTTTTGAGAGTTGTGAATGCATCTTTGAGTTGCTGTTAAAACAAATGGTCAAAGGACACACATTAGAAGAGGAAATACTTTGAGGGTATCACTATACAAGTAATGTGTTCCGTTGTTACCCTCCATCTTTTCAACAGTAAGTCAAGAATAATCAAGGTTAATACTTCCCTTGTCCCAAAACAATTTGTCATTTTGAAATATTATTACTCACTGATAGAATGTCTAGACCCATAACTGATACCATGTTGTGTCGCTACAAATCAAACACATACAGCTGTGAAGAATTTTCTAATGTATTTGACCCGGGAGTTTCTCTGACGGTGTGCCATCTCCTCGTGTTAGAAGGTCCAAGGAAACTCTTCCTAGATTCTTTTATGGGGAAATGTTTTGAAAGACAAAGGCCTGTGAGACTGGGCGTCACCTAGGCTTCCTGTTTTCCTGTTTACTAAAGCCAGAAACTTTGGGTAGCTCGCTGCACTCATTTTGACTTTTAGAGTGGAGCAAAATGTTGGAAGAGTTTGATAAATGTAACAAGTACCAACATGTATAAGATGTGTACTCAGATAAGGTTTCGTGCATATTTGGAAACAGTAGCTAATTTAAAATGTATGGAAGTATTCCTTTAGGCACATCCAACAAGGGAAAGTGCTCATTGAAAAGGAGAGTTCATTTCTAGTTAACCCACGTTGTGCTTCTCTGATACGTCTGATCTTCAACAGTCCGCGGAATGAATTGCATCACAACACATTTAGGTATTTATCAAATCTAGTAGCACAAAACCAATGTCCATGCAGTGAGGGTGCAGGAATCTCCTTTTGAAAAAATCCTATCCACACCTTACTGGTGATCAAATGGAGGTTCCTTTGAAGAACGGTTCCTGTTCCAGCTTTGAAGTGGTTAAGCATTGTGCAGCAGCGTCCTCACTGAGGCTGCTAATCAGCCACTTGATGACCGATAAGGAGTAAATACTGGGTTTGCATTCCTGTGATTGGACTCAATCCTCCGCACAGTCAGCCAACCTGCTGGACGAAAACACACGTTTCTGTTATATGGGTAACTTAGAAATCAATACAAGGCTGGATTAATGACATAAAAATTCTCTGTTGTTCATCATTATTCGTAAGTAGGCTATAGGGTCAGTTCCTGATACAGCTGTTTTAAATGCGCTTGGCTTGAGAGGCTGCGATTGGTACAGCCCGACGATTAGGGCACGGTTTCCTGTTCACTTCCATGCAATGTGAAGGAAGAAACACATTTAACCTTTGTATCTTTGATTTATGAAGAAATTAGCAAAGGGAAGTCAAACTCTGAAACAACAGCAAATAAATGCCGCCATGTTGAAAACAGTGAACCCAAACCTATCGTCGAATGGCTCATAATGTGCAGACTGTCATGAAGAAAAACTCTTCGGGTTTGTCATTCA